GCTTGAGGAAATAGGATAGGCAGGGAAGGAAATTTTTAGAAGCAAGTGTAAAGTGAAAAAATGTAGTCAAAGTGGCTTACCGCGGCCGCTGGCAGTAAGTTGTTCCGCATGTAAATTGAGGGTGTGCGCGGCGCTTGGCGCCGCGGACTACACTAATTCAACTTCAGAACGGTAAGTTGGACCTCAGGTAAGCTGAAGTAGACGACCTCCTAACCACCGTTTCAATTTTTCGGGAAATTCAAGATACCTGCAATTTGATAATCGGTTTTTTCCGCAATAAGTTAAAGAATAACACAGTTTAGGAAAATCTAAAAATATAAATCAACAACACTTCTAAATACAGTAAAATAAAAATTATTCAGCATTTATTAAAATATATTTCACTGCGTGTCCTAATTCCCAACACATAAAACCCTATAACCACCCTTTTCGTAGGAAAACATGCGGGGAGTACGGATTAATGAGTGGGCCTACATAAGCTACTCTTGCCGACATTTTCTTCTGGCTCACAGCTCAATGTTTTGGGTTTCTAACCAGCAGGCCGCAGACTCCAGCTTTGGGGGTTGCACAAACTAGGGTCGGGTCTGGCTGGCTGAGGACGGCCATTCTAATCTCGTTTGTTTTGTCGATGATGTTCTTCCGCCTTGATTTTTTTGCATCTTTATTCGGCATGTGAATAAAATTTTCAACTTTTGTCGACGTATAGTTGAGTCACGGCAACGAAATTCTTCAGAGATCTCATGAGGCTATAACTTTGCCAACGCTTATGTGAGGTAGGGAAAAGAAAATGTCACTTTTTCCAATGACTTACATACTCCCTTTTTATTGTACGCTTCCAGGGACCATTCCCGAAAGAACCAGCTTGGCAGTCGTTTGCTGATTTGAAGGTCACAGATTACTCGCTACATAGGGACAAGCACTGTGAAGGTCACCCGATACGTTTTCTAGGTTGGGGGAAACACGACAACAGAAACCGAAAGTTTTACCATGAAAGTATTGTCGCTGTCACTGTTGACAGTCTCCCATTTGCGCGCATCCTTGGGGGATGATAGCTAAAAAGCAGGCGAAACAACACCCTCCCTCCCTCTACTCTTTGGTATCGGCCGGGGGAGGGGGAGGGTGCAAATGGTTTTCAGCATACATCCTCCGTTGACTAAAATCGATGAAAAAAAATTGTATTCAAAGTTCCATAGTTTCCGACAAATGCACAAGGAGTTTTATTCTCACTGTCTGCTCTTTTTGCTTTACTTCCACTTCACTGGTTCGTGCGATTTGCCATCGCCAATAAACCGAGGTACTATCGAGGTATTGTTAAGGCTAAGAAGGTTTAACCCTAACGGCTGCTCGGTTCCTTAGGATAGTCCCGCTCGCTCACAGCATTAATGACTATCTTTTATTTCAATAGGCGGGCTGGAAGTCTCAAGAGAGCGAGAAGGAGAGGGCAGCGAGCCACAAATGCCGTATGTTACTGGAGGAGTGGGTCTTATGGAAAACATGTTATGCTACCTCGACTATATTTCATCCAATTTATTGCAATTTATCATCTTAAAAGTTGCGCTTTGCATTCGGAAAACTTTCCAGTGATTGTCTCTCAAGCTTTTACTACCTATAACCCTCCGAGGCGGATATGAAGATAGCCTGGTTGCTGTCATATCTGATTCACGTGTTCAGTCTGGTAGCTTTTCTTGTAGGAGACCTTTTTATGTCCCATTATGCGAACTCTAAGATCAGATGGAGAAACGAATGGGGCTGCAACGTTGTACTATTAATCGAACTCCGCTACGCTGTCCCCTTAGAAGTAGCTATTACTTAGTCAGAAACTTCTGCTCTTGAGCTCCTTCGGTCGATTTTACCGGGTATCAGACCCTTTGTTTCGGATATGTTTTGTTGTGTCCCTAACGCCCAATATTGTTTGTCCTTCTGTCCTAAGT